TTATCAACTTGGCGGGAAGAGCTCCGAAAAAGTGTAAGAACTGGCTATCGAGTTATGGCGTTCGTTGTTCAAATTAAATAAGCCTTGCTTTTGTCCCAGGTGCTTTATATGTTGTTGTTTTTTAAAAGCACGTTATCACAGGGTAAATTCTTCGAGTGTGTGCAGCATGGGAGATACCAGTTTTATTTATAGGGTTAGTAAAGCGTAGCAATTATTTGGCAGATAAGAAGATCTTCACTGTTCAGTGTTATAAAAATTTGTGGTAGAGTAGGTTAATTAAATAATTAATCGTGCAGTTTTAGCGTTTATGCTTACTATTATATTTTACGCAAGGTTTACCAAATTTCGTCCATGCAGAAAACTTATGGGTCATCCTGTCAAAGGCGGGTATCGCCATCTAGTAGCAATTATGCACATTAATTAACATCTCGTCCGCTAGTTAATTTGGAATGAGGCAAGATACGCTTTTTGTGTGTGTATGTGCTTATGTTGTTCGTTCGAAAGTTAAAATACTGGTAATAAATAGCACACCTCAGATTTACTGATCCATTCAGGAAACTTTCCGATTAACAGTAATAGGTCATGAGCAGTAAATATATAAACTTAAATGGAAAGAAAAATGTTTCTGATCAACGAGAAATTCTTTTCTTGCTTTTTACATCTCATATTATATAAACAGACCATAAAATATTTGCACCTAATACATATTTGTTATTGAGTAGGCATGGCCAGGTGGTTAGGGAGTTCGACTCGCAATTTACGGGTTCGAATCCCCGTCCGACCTAACATACTGGCCGTTTCAGCCGTGGAGGCGTCATAATCCCACCATTCGTTGGTAAAAAGAGTAGCTCAAGAGTTGGCGATGAGTGATGATGACTAGTTGCCTTCCCTCTAGTTTTCACTGCTAAATTAGGAACGACTAGCGCAGATAGCCCTCGTGCAGATTTACGCGAAATTCAAGCCAAGCCAAGTTTTTGAATATCCTTGATAAAATTTTGTCATTTAGAGGTGACATGCTGCGTTGAAAACTTGAAATACACAAGGACGCGATAATGGAGAGAAAAAAAAAACACGGAAAGAATTATACAACAGTAGTATTTTTCACCGTATTTGGTGTTCGTAACTTACGTATTCCGTAGTGACTTATCTGTATCTTTGATTACAGTATTTCCTTGACATTTTCACACATTTCAAGCAAGAGCAAAGCGATCGATGTCTACATATTGTTGAGTAAACATATTACATCACATCGTGCTCGTGATCAGCCATGCGTTCGAATGCAGGGCGCGAGCAGGTGATAACGTGCGTGCATACATGTTCACACCTTGTTTCGGAATTTAGTAGTGAAGCGCATGTGCAGTAAGTAAGTAAGAACATGTTTTTGTCATAAAATTTCACAAATTTAATCAAACAATCAATTTAACATTTTAACTGTTAAAACAAAATACCAACGTACATCTTCGGAATATCGGACCTTCGGAGTATTGGGCTAACGCATCTTCTCCTATATTTTAACCAATTTTAATTCTATTAGGCTAACCTGTTCAACAATAACTTTATTAGCATGCTTCAACGTGCACCGTTCTTTTTTATTGTTGTAGTTTTATGTTCCTTTCGATAACCATAATTTAAACTCAGTTTTGTAACCTGTGACGTCCATAAACCTTTGAAAAAGGCGTTGAGTAGTTCAAAAAATGTATAAAAACAACATTTATCTGAAGTTGTTTCTGTCTTCATTGCAAGGAATTTTTAAGGTTTCAATTCTTAACGTCTTATAATGTTGAGCACGTGATTCAAGGCAAATGATTTTACAAGAAACGGTAGACACAGGATATGACCTAAAAGTTTTGCAACTTTTCACAGGATATGAAAACTTTTAGGTAACATTCGTTGTCTCAGCACCATGGAATAAGAATTTTGAATATCCATTCTCTCAGAAGGGCTAGATTCCCAAATCTAATCTGGACGCGTAAATATGCGGGCTCTGTTGCTAATACTACACATGCGTACAACAAGAAAATAGCATTGATGAAACGAATATCAAACATTGCCCGTCCATTCACGAAAAGTTGCAAACTTTTAGGTCATATCCTGTGAAAAGTTGTCAACATGTTTAATGAGTCGTCATATCAACATGTTTAATGAGTCGGGGATATAACATTCGTTGTCTCAGCTCTATGGAATCAACATGTTTAATGAGTCGGGGATATAACATTCGTTGTCTCAGCTCTATGGAATTTCCATAGTGCTGAGACAACGAATGTTATATCCCCGACTCATTAAACATGTTGATTCCATAGTGCTGAGACAACAAATGTTATATCCCCGACTCATTAAACATGTTGAAAAGCTTCCAGTCAGAAAAATTATCTTGATATTAAGCCAATACGATGAGTTGTACACTATAATGGCGATTCCAATGTTTCTGTTGTTTGTATTTAAAACGAGAACAAGTTGTTAGGGGCGGTTGGGTTGGTCCCCCCTCCCCCAAGATGTACCTATTAAACTTTGGGTTGGTCCCCCCTCCCCCAAGATGTACCTATTAAACTTTGGGTTGGTCCCCCCTTCCCCAAGATGTACCTATTAAACTTTTCATTTGACATTGCATTCATCTGTTATGGAGCTACGAATTTATTTATACATTCAAGTTTGACTTGTATTGCGAAAACCCAATATCTGTGACTCTCGAGATTTTGGAGTACTGGGCGTTCACCAAAAAATCACTGATTAAAACATTGGGTATTCCCGAGTGCAGTTCTTTGTTTACACAAACTATAAACATAAACAGTTTAACATAGCTGATCTTTCCCGAGTGCAGTTCTTTGTTTACACAAACTATAAACATAAACAGTTTAACATAGCTGATCTTTCCCGAGTACAGTTCTTTGTTTACACAAACTATAAACATAAACAGTTTAACATAGCTGATCTTTCCCGAGTGCAGTTCTTTGTTTACACAAACTATAAACATAAACAGTTTAACATAGCTGATCTTTCCCGAGTGCAGTTCTTTGTTTACACAAA